ACATTCCACGCTGGAGTTCGCACCTCCCTTCATCCTTGTGCTGGGAATGTTGATCAGAGTCTGAAATATTGTTACGCAGTCCTCCTTCCCTAGGTCTTATCAGAGCCTCCCTCTTGCCCCGTAGAATCCGTCTTCTATCTTCCTGGTTCAAATATTTTATTCGACCCATGCCGCCTCATCTGTGCTGCTCGAGGCATTATTACCTCACCTATGCGTTTGGGTGATTTATCCGAGGCTAAAGCCTCTGAGTAATTCTAATGGTCAAACCTTTGCTGCATGGACCATGTCTATCGTAAAACAGGCCTACTGTCAGCCAACTAGCTCTAGTCTCCGCCGCGTTTATCCTTTTTCTATCCCTATCACCAAGTCTATGACTTGCTATGCCCTAGTTTCTTGTGCGCCAAACCACAAATGTTGTAGATACGAAGTGGCATAGTGTTAAGATTTGACTTTTTTGAATGACACCCAGTTCTGATGATGTCCATCATATGATGGACGAAAGCTCAGCACGTTTTCACCCGAAACGAGGGAGAAAGTCCCGTGGACTGTGTCAATATGAATATCCTTTACAATCCAACCGGCGACAGTGCAACGAGTTTCATCCGTCCTCATCTGGTGAGATCGACCAACGAATCTCTTCTTTAGCATTTTCATACGAAATGAAGGTCCCTCTCACAAATGTTGTGTTTCAACATTAAACCTAATCAAAGCAAGCAGTACCACAATATTTTTGGGTTGGCACACAAGAAAATAGGGCATAGCAAGTCATAGACTTGGTATTAGGGATAGAAACAGGATAGACGCGGCGGAGACTAGAGCTAGTTGGCTGACAGTATGCCTGTTTTACTATAGACGTGGTCCATGCAGCAAAGGCTTGACCCTGAGACTTACTTAGAGGCTTTAGCCTCGAATTAGTCACTCAAACGCAGAGGAGGGATAATAACGCTTCGAGCAGCACAGATCTGGCGGCAGGGGTCGATTGAAATACTTGAACCAGGGAGATAGAAGACGGATTGTACGGGGTAAAAGGGAGATTATGATAAGACCTAGGGAAGGAGGTCTGTGTAACAATATGACAGACTATGATCAACATTCCTAGCACAAGGGTGAAGGGGGGTGCGAACGCCAGTGTGGAATGTGGAAGGTTCTCATGAAAGCCACTCAAAAGGGCACACCACACTCATTTAAATAAGCACTGTAAAAAAATTGTGACAGTAAAGGCGTGATACGAGGATATAGGAAATGTGAATAGCCCAGGGCAGAAGGGGAGATACATCAACTGTTTAGCACACGCTTGGTCAAAGGATCGGCTTCACTTGTCTCTTTGACGAGCTCTAGTGTGGTGGTAAGAATGACAAGACTCACTAATAATGCCGACTACGATGCCGGCGAAACGTCTGGGAATGTACCACGTTAATGGTCCGAATTTGGAAGTTATCATGCGTACAATGGACTCCGGACTAGGTGCGTTCCTCTAAGTCTTCCTACCAATATGATCAAGTTGCGAGAATTACTTATGCTTAAGTGATCGACTTTCAAGAAAAGAGGGTGTATCGTCATGCACAAAAAGAAGTTGACCCTATTGGGTATTCGTTACAGACACCTGTTACATTCATAAACTTAACTATTTATGTCTTCGGGATCATACAATCCCATCATCCCTCTTCTCTGACCATTGAACCTCGATGGCTCTGGACTGTCATAACGCTGATTTTATTATTCCTAGTTGACTGGTGACTCCGTACCTTGACAAATATGTACCCATACATCATCAAGCTCACTCAACTATAAAAGTACTTAGAGTAAGATGAAAACGAAATAACCAAATTATTCTATTCTTATCTATCTATATATATAAAGGCTTTCCTCTTGTAGTTTTGAGTCTAGGATATAAGGTATAACCGGTTAGCCTTTCTTATTTGGAGTTTTTGTGAGAATATCATCCATCTCTGATTATATCTCTCATATTAGGGATAAAAGTTTAGCTGGGGTAGAAGCAGAATGTCTCGTCAACTGTGATGGCTTAAATACCATAATATAACCTAATGATGGCATAGAAACGGTGATCAGCCCTCATTTTCTCATGAGGCTGATTCGCAAATCTTGTCTTAAGATACTTTTACGCAAACTTAAAGTTATTTGTGAACATTCATCGAACCCCAGTTACACTTCATATTATCGTACTTGGGATAAAACTAAGATAGTTGAGGTAATTTTCAGACCAAGTCAGCTCTGACGATGTCGCACTTAAGCGAGCCATTCTGTCTACAATTATACCCTTATCATGAAATGTTATCACTCCTGCTGACCTCTAAGTCACCTTGGCCTCAAAACTCCGATTATTCGCTTATCAAACTCCGTTACAGTGACTGTTTCATTCCGGTTATTGGTCTGGCCAGTCAGTACAATGTGTTGGGTTATCTCAAGGCTCCCAGGATATGTGAGGGATAAATGTATAATTAGAAGCCAAGGCAATTTAGAAGGGCGGCAGGAATGAGAATCACGTTTTGGAACCGTTTTCGGTGAGACTAGCGTACGCGTTCCATCGTGCGTTCCGGAATGGTCATGTGAATAGATTCTCCAATACTACGTACATGGTCGCCAGGTTACAGGACTTATAGCTAGCCAATCAAATATGACTTTAGTAAACAAGTGGCAAATGTTTGTAGAATTGACTTGCTAAATAAAAAATGAATTATGATCATGAAGCGCCACAGGCAGTAGATGAAGCAGATGATGAAGTTGAATATGCCTCCGTAAGCCCACTTGAAGTGCGACACACTTTGAATAGAAAGGAAAAATCGTAATTACCAATAAGTGTAGATAGAGTACTTTGTCACATGAAGTAGGTTTAATGGAAGATTATGCAGCGCCATCAGTCAGCAGCCGGAAGGGAGGAGAGAGGTCTTGATCATAAAACAGAAAATTTGTCAGCAGGATTGTCTTTATTTGTCGCTTGTGCGCATCTCATTGACGATACCGGTGAAGCATTGTGAATATACTAAGTCACTGGTCCAGTGCTGGAAATGATCATGATAGGTCTCCTCGTCACTCCTATCAAATTAAGAAGACGATTTAATATCAACTCAATTTGGTTTAAGTTGCGAACTCATACAAACTCAGAAGTTTTCATCGAAGATATGAGGACCAAGATGTTGTGGCCTCTGGTATGGTCGCAGTCTCCTTTCGTTTTATATAAGTTGAGTATATACCAAGTCTACTGTATGATGCTGGGAATCATGACAACTAGTATGGCAGACGACTTCGGACTGGGTACGTTCTACTAAGTCGCCCTGACAACAAGATCAAGTTGCGACAACGGGGTCAGCCCACTTCAGAAGTTTTCAGTTACTCTTGTAGGCTCTTGGCTTGGATCTCGAGTGTAGAAGGCATCAACCGTTCACTCACTCGAAGTAATATGTCGAGATCCGATGAATCAATCGTTTTAGGAAGGATGTAAACGAGTCACTACATTAGGTTGGATATAAAATCCGATTATAAATTAGACGTATTTCCCATCGTTGTCTGATTGTGGCAAGTACTTGTTATCCTCCAGGTTTTTGTTTGGATCCATTTAGTCGTGTTCGTATCCAAATAAATCACAATACG